ACGACTTCAAGTCGTGAAGAATAGCTCTTGCGTTCTCTGAAAATAATTCTTCCTTTTTAAGTTGCTGCTGCAGCTTCTCTAATGACGACATAGGTGTCTCTTCATTTTTCCAAGATGCGTTCTCTCCTAATAATATTTGTTCAAAGTGTACTAGAAGTTCGATGGTAGTCCTTCTAGCACAAGGGGGCATAGTATCAGCTTCATCACCAAGCTCTTTAATATTCAAAAGTGTCTTCCTTCGTTCATCAAAGCCGATGATATCGGTACTTGGTGATGGATTCAACTGAGAACACTGTGTGGATGGCTCATCTATGATATGAGCGGATGAAAAGGGTTCAGTTTCATTTTGAATAATATGCCTATCTATATCAGTGTCAAGAGTATTGCGTGGAAAACTAGTCACACTAGAGCACACTTCATTCATTTTGTCGGAACACTCTTTTAGTTCTTGTAGCTCACGTAGAAATTCTGATTCTTCCTGAGCCTTTTCTGTTCTTCGCTGTCGCTCAAATTTCTGAACTCGTTCTTTTGTCTCCTTTATTTCTTCTGCTAGTTCATCTACATTCTGAAGATTAATCTTAGTTAATCCATTCTTTAATTTTTCTCTCAATTCAAGAAGTTCTGATTCACGAGAGGTGGAAGAAGCGAAAGGAAAATTTTCGTCGGTATTAGCTTTACCTTCATTTGAATCGTGTATAATGGATGTTACAATAGCTGTATCTTCCTCTGGGTTGTTTAATGAGGTTTTTTAGTCGAATATGCTCGAGTTGTGTTCTCATATCGACTAGAATTATGTGATTGAAGTGGTGTCGGGTTAATAAAATCCGGATACTGTTCATCTTTCACTGCTTGTAATAAGTTTTTAACTGTTAATGTTGCACTTCCCCTATGATCATGATGCGTTAATATATTTCTCGACCGAAGAACAGCAAATGAATAAACTTTGGAAAGTTGCTTTTGTAATGTATCTTGAATGACATCGAATCCATTGACTGGATTAATATATTCAGCTCGTAGAATTCGTTCATCAGCTTCAAATTCAATTAAAATTCCAATCCAAACTGAGTTTGCTAAAGAATATGGAATCAAAACAATCCGTTTTCCTTTGTGATCTTTCTGCTCTTTTTCGACGTCATGTTCCAATTGGTATGCGATATTATCACTGATAGGAGGTAATGCATAAACGGGTTTTGAAAAACATGCAGGATACTGTCGGCGAGCTTTGTCTAATTGAGAATTCAAAAGGCTCTGAATACCGTGAAATCCATACTGAGTATTTCATGTGTCTGCTGAATATTCCATTGAGTCAACTGTTGACTTCTCCATATTAAGTATGTTTTGTTTTCGTGTTCACCAAAAACCAACAAAAATTCAAGTAATTTACTATTCTGGAGTTTGCCTAAAAGAACACAATCATTGGAGTGTGGGATGTGGGTGTCGGTGGATGCGCGTGTCTAGCAACAAAAGAATTAAACCAAAACTCACAACCACACGCACACCCGCACGCACAGTCACGCTTACACCACCCACACCCACACCCACCCACACCCACACCCACACCCACACCCACACACCCCACACCCACACCCACACCCAGAACCAGACCCACACCCACACCCACACCCACACCCCACACCCACCAC